CTATCTATCTATCTATCTATCTATCTATCTATCTATCTATCATCTATCTATCTATCATCTAATCTACCTGTCATCTATTGGGAACTCCCTGTAGCCCCAGCTGGTGTCTCTCTCTCTCTCTCTCTGTCTCTCTGTCTCTGTCTGTCTCTCTCGATAGGGTGTCACTTTGCATACCTGGCTGGTCTAGAACTCGCTATGTCGATCAGGCTGGCCTCACACTCAGAGACCCGCTAACCTCGGCCTCCTCCTCTCTTTAGCTGCCCCGGGGCTGTTTCTCAACCCTAGAGGGCTTATCTTGACCCCTGGTTCCCAGGAGGGATCTCCTTACCCTCCCAGGACCAGATTCCCTACGGCATCACGAGCTCTCCAGAAGTCCAGACAATGGGTGTGGCTGGAGAGCTGCCCGGCACCCCTAAATTACTGCAGAGGGAAAAGGAGGGGTCAGGGTCAGGGCGCTCGGTCCAGCTAGCTACTGGCCCCACTCCGAGGAAGAGGAGTTCGTGTTCTCACCAGAGGGGGAGCTGGACACGATTGGCAGGCGGCCAGCATCCTCTCTCTCTGGAGTAGATAGACCAGGGCATCGCCCCCCTTCCCCCCGGCCCGGGCCGTGACGTCATCTCTCCGTGCCGGAGACGAGCCGCGGTCGACGCCATCTCCAGGCGCCCGGCTGGTGGGGCGCTGGGTGTGGGGCGGCTCCGGGGCCGGGGATGGCGGCGGCCGCGGTGGCCGCGGCTCCGGGACGAGCGGGAGGAACCAAAGGAGCTCTGTGAGATGGGCCGGTGAGTGTCGCCGGGCGTGGTGGGCTCCGGGCCGGCCTGAGGCCCAGCGGGCCCTGGGTTCGGCGCTCCGCTGGAAGGGGCCCCCTAGGAGCCGGTTGGCTGCACCCGGGCGACTGGGGGGGCTCCAAATCGGGGACAGAGAGAGCGAAAGAGGCGACAACGGAACCCCTGGACGCTGCTGGCCCGTCTGGCCTGGAAGGCGGCCGCGGGCCTCGGCTGCACCCGCCGTGCTGTCCCCGCGGGCCAGGATGTCCGACTCCTCCCGGCGGGAAGGGGCCCCCAAACAAGGAAGCGTCGCCAGAGGGGCCTCGCCTCCGCCCCGGGGCTCGAAGGCCGACCCCTACTCTTAGCGCAGACTCCCCCAGCTCAGGCCTCACCCTTGTCAGAACCAGGATTGGGGGATCACGCAAACACATCACCTCTGGCTTGCTCCTTAGAATTCGGGTCCCCGGTAGGGTGCAACCTCTTGATTCCAGCCCTGGTGTGCTGAGTTGCTTCGTTCCCGCCTCTGTTGGTCTCTGGAACGGTCACCTTTGCCCTTTAGCTCTATGGGGTTCACAAGCTGTCGTCTTTCTTCTTGAGAAAATCCAAAGCTCCCTCAGACGCCCTGGTTTCAGATCCTGATAAGTAAAAGTTTTGCCTTGTGGGAATCTTGTGAGAAGGCTTGGCTCTTTTGTTTTGGGGGAGACCTTTTGCTTTTTCAGGCATTTCATTAGCTTGTGTTTTTCGGACAGGCAGGTTTTCTTTGCAGAGAGCAAGCAAGCATCATTCTGGGAGAAAATGCAAGCCCAGTTTTTTGGGGGCATGAAGGAGAAAGTTAAGTACTTTTCAGTTAAACTTCTGCCAAAGAATGAATGCCACTTTATGATTTTTTTGTGTGTGTATGTGGGATTAGGAGTTTGCTTTTACACCTTTTGTGTACTTCCGAACCATGACAGTCTTAGATAAATGTTGCTTTCATTTATGTTGAGAATTGTGGTATTCTCTGGAACTTTGCTGACAGAACAGGCAGTAATTCCTCAGCATACTAGTCAGTACCGCTTCCTCTGTGTTCAGCAGTTAAGGCTCTTTTGGCTCTGTGTTTTTTGTTGTTTTTCTCCTTTGACACAGGGTAACCTTGGAGTTCAGACTGGCCTCAAACTAGCTGTGTGTGTGGTTGAATATAGCTGAGAATTCCTTGAACTCTGATTCTCTTGCTTCTACCTGGCAAGTGATTGGATTACAAGTGTGTGCCACCTTGCCCAGTTTATGTGGTGCTAGGGATCAAACCTAGAGCTTTGGTGCATGATAGACAAGCAACTCTACAAACTGAGCTGCATCCCAAATCCTATAAGGACATGTGCTTTAGGGCTTGATATTTCTGGGAAGTTCAGATCCGGGTATTGCTAGTTTAGTAGTGGTTTTGTTTCCCCCATTGTTAGCTACATGAGAGTCAAAGTGATGTTTTCAATTTCGGTCACAGTTCATTCAGTACTTGGTGTGAAGTTGCCACTCAGAAAATTTTACACACACAGACATACTGGAGCCTTTTTAATTGTACTCAAAAAAACTATTAAGATAGCTTCAGCCTTCAAAAGCTCCCCCTTGGCCTCTTTTTCCTGCCCCAGAAACATAAATAATTGTTCTTTTTCCTCTAGTGTTACATTTCTTATTTAAATAATCTCCACATGTGTATATTGATAGGCCCTTAATAAAAGTGAAACTCCCTGCTTCCCATTGTTCACCTAGGGACAGTATTAAATCTTCAATTTTTCTTTGTGCATTTAAGCAAAATTTGGATTGACAATAAGTTTAATCTTTGGGGAACAGGGTAGAGAATAAAAATTATGATGTTACGGAAACCATAGGATTTGACACATTGAAATTTTTTTTCCAAGGATATCTTTCTGCAAATTAAAACTTAAGAGATTTTTTTTTTTCTTGTTTATTTGTATGTGAAGGCTGGAGGCCAGCTTGTGGGAGTTGGTTCTCTCCGCAGTGTGGGCCCTTGGGGTCAAATTCAGGTCATCAGGTTTGGCAGCAAGTGCTTTTTACCTGCTGAGCCATCTTACTGGCCCCAGAGATTTCTTCTTTGAATTGCTTGGGCACTCTAGGTAAATATGCTGTCACCTCTGCAGTAGAAGATTACCAAGAACCCATGAACTTGGATGGTTTTGTTTTGTTTTTTGTTTTTGCTTTTGTGGCTTTGGGATTAGCTTTCATAATGACCCTGGGGAAGATGAGAGGTGAGAATCCTGCTTATTCCCTCCTTATTTGTCTTATAGGCTCCCGAGTCAACCGGGAGGACACTTAGCACAGCTGCTCAGAAGCACCATCAGAAGCTCAGGTAATACAACCACTTTGGATTCCTTGTTGCAGGAAAAACCTGTGGGATTTGCCAATGGAAAAACAGAACAGAATACGGAATGTAGAATGAAGCTTACCTAGAAGAACTAGGTGGCAAAGTTTATGTGTGTTGAAATGTTCGTACCAAAAGATGCTTTTTGGTTTATTTTTTTAAATATATTTTATTATTTTTACTTTATGTGTATGAGTGTATTGCCTGCATGTTTGTGAGTGCACCCGTGTTGTGCACTGCTGCGGAGATCAGAAGAGGGCTTTGGATTCCCCTGGAACTGGAGTTAAGGACGGTTTGTAGTCGCCATGTGGGTGCTGGGAATCAAACCTGGGTCTTTTGCAAGAGCAGTCAGTGCTCTTAACTGCTGAGCCATCTCTCCAACCCCTATTTTATGTTTTTTTGAGACAGGATCTCATGTAGTCCAAACTGGCCTGGAATTCATTATGTAGCTGAAATTCTGATCCTTGTGCCTCTACCTCCCAAGTGCTGGGATTATAGGCATCTGCCATCCCAACTACTCCAAAAAATGCATTTTGACAGTGGATAAAAATAATTATAAAGCCAGGGTGGTGCCACACACCTTTAATTCCAGCACTTTCAAGACAGAGGCAGGTGGATCTCTGTGAGGTCAAGGCCAGCCTGGTCTACATAGCAAGTTCCACGCCGGCTGGGGTACAGGGAGACCCTGTGTCCAAACAAAACAGATGACAGTAAGAGAAAGGAGAGGGAGGACTTTCCTATGAACCATATAGCTAAATAGCAAATAAATGTGTGTATAGAGAAATTGAGCCAGATTTTTTTTGGGGGGGGTGTCTTTTTGAGACAGGGTCTCCCAGTAGCCCCAGCTGTCCTGGAACTGACTGTGTAGACCAGACTGGCCTTGAACTCACAGAGATCCACCTGCCTTTGCCTCCCAAATGCTCGGATTAAAGGTGTGCTTCACCACGCCTGGCTGGAGCCAGAACTTTTAAAAAAATATTTTATTCGTTTTATGTGTATGAACGTATTGCCTGCATAGATGTAAATGCACCCGTCATGTATTTTAAGATTTATTTTTATTTTTAATTGTGTGTGTGGGGGGGGGTATGTACACATGAGTACAGGTACCTTGGAGGCCAGAAGAGGGCATTAGATCCCCTAGAGCTGGAGATACAGGACTTTGTGAGCTTCCCAACATGGGTGCTAGGAATCAAACTTGGGTCCCCTGAAAGAGAAGTACATACTTTTAACCACTGAGCCATCTCTCCAGCCCCAGGAGCCATAATATGATGCTCAGAGCAGACCTACAAGGGAAAAAGGAGCCACTGGCAAGAGGAACAAGGAAAAGGTGGGGGGAGGGGCAGGCAAATTGAAGGTGATCAATGAGAAGAAAAAAAGTCTTGCCAAACTAGGGAATAGGACGTCTGTATGAGGTCAGAATTATTTTGTGGCTCTTTAGGGAGGAGGAGAAAAGCTATAAAACAATCTAATCTAGTCACTTTTCTCATGTGGTTCAAGCTGGAATGTAGTTTCTTCGGGCCAAAAAAATAAAGTTCTGTGTTTCATGATATGTTTAGGGAACAAGATTTAATTAAAACAAAAAAACAAGTAAACCTCAGCCCTTTAATGACATGAGTTTAACCAGCCTTGGGGTAGAAGGGATGGGAGAGGGTGAGATCATAACCCAAATTAGGCTGGGAAAATAAGCAAGAATGAGGTCATACATTCAGGGAAAGAAGATGGCACATTGGTCTTTGAGAGCAAAAGGGGGAATTTAGCAAAGTGCCAGCAGCAAAGACCGTGTGCTCAAAGCCCTGTGTAAGGGAGCAAGCTGAGAAGAGTCAAGGTGATTAATCCAGAGGTTGTTGGTGGAGAAGGTTATGGAACCCTCAGGTTATTTATGAATCTAGAAAGTTTATCCTTGTAGCGCTTCGTGCTTTGTGGTGCCCTGACTGTGTCTGTCCTGTCCTAAACTCATGAGTGAGGAGATAGTCTCTTGTCTCCTTGTCTGTGCCCCCTTTTCCCATCACTCTTCTTTGTTACAACGTCTTCCTCTGTGGGCACAATTCTTGATATTTTGTTTAACTTAGCCTCTGTGAACACAGTTCTTGATTTTTTGTTTAACTTAGTTCTCTAGGTTACTTTTCTTTGCCTCTCATTTGTTCCCTAGCAGATGTGGGCACCCCAGCCAGCAGCAGAGAGGGGTACAGGGAAGCCACTGAGAAGTCCCTTCTGATGCCCCAAGGAGCAAGCCAAGCCCATCCAGGCTCCAGGAACACCATAAAGCAATATGAAACCTGTTCATGAGCGGAGTCAGGAATGTCTTCCACCAAAGAAACGAGACCTCCCCGTGACCAGCGAGGATATGGGGAGAACTACCAGCTGCTCCACAAACCACACACCCTCCAGTGATGCTTCTGAATGGTCCCGAGGGGTCGTGGTGGCTGGACAGAGCCAGACTGGAACCAGAGTCAGCCTGGGGGGTGATGGAGCTGAGGCCATTACTGGTCTGACAGTAGATCAGTATGGCATGCTGTATAAGGTGGCTGTGCCACCTGCCACCTTCTCACCAACTGGCCTCCCATCTGTTGTGAACATGAGCCCCTTACCCCCCACGTTTAATGTAGCGTCTTCACTGATTCAGCATCCAGGAATCCACTATCCCCCAGTCCACTATGCTCAGCTCCCTTCCACCTCACTGCAGTTTATCGGGTCTCCTTATAGCCTGCCCTATGCTGTGCCACCTAATTTCCTACCAAGTCCCCTCCTTTCTCCTTCTGCCAACCTTGCCACCTCTCATCTTCCACACTTTGTGCCATATGCCTCGCTCCTAGCAGACGAAGCCACTCCTCCCCCCCAGGCTGCATCTCCAGCCCACCCATTTAACAAAGCCTCTTCTGCCACCTCCCCACCCGGCCAGTTGCCACATCACTCAAATACTCAACCACTGGATCTTGCTCCAGGCCGGATGCCCATTTATTATCAAATGTCTAGGCTACCTGCTGGATATACCTTGCATGAAACTCCAACAGCAGGTGCCAGCACAATTCTTACCCCTCAGGAGGGCCAGTCTGCTCTGGAAGCAACTGCTGCCAATGGAGGACAGAGACAGCGAGAGCGAAATTTAGTAAGGCGGGAGAATGAAACTCTTGACTCCTCCAGCAGCAAGGGTGAAGGCCAAGGACTGGTGCCAGTGGTGGAATGTGTGGTGGATGGACAGTTGTTTTCAGGTTCTCAGACTCCACGAGTGGAGGTGGCGGCACCAGCACACCGAGGGACCCCAGACACCGACCTTGAGGTCCAGCGGGTAGTTGGCGCTTTAGCTTCTCAGGACTATCGTGTGGCAGCAGCTCAGAGGAAAGATGAACCCAGCCCTCTTAACCTATCCCATCATACCCTTGACCATCAGGGTGAGGGACGAGGGTCAGCTAGGAATCCTACAGAACTGGCAGAAAAAAATCAGGCCCGTGGGTTCTACCCTCAGTCCCATCAGGAACCAGTAAAACACAGACCCTTACCCAAAGCAATGGTTGTAGCCAATGGCAACCTGGTGCCCACTGGAACTGACCCAAGTTTGCTGCCTGTGGGCTCGGAGATCCTGGTGGCATCAAGTCTGGACATGCAGGCCAGAGCCACCTTCCCAGACAAGGAGCCAACTCCACCTCCCATTACCTCCTCCCACTTGCCCTCCCATTTCATGAAAGGCGCCATCATTCAGCTGGCTACAGGGGAGCTGAAGCGGGTGGAGGACCTCCAGACCCAGGATTTTGTGCGCAGTGCCGAAGTGAGTGGGGGACTGAAGATTGACTCTAGCACGGTTGTAGACATTCAGGAGAGCCAGTGGCCTGGATTTGTCATGCTCCATTTTGTGGTTGGTGAGCAGCAGAGCAAAGTGAGCATCGAGGTGCCCCCTGAGCACCCCTTTTTTGTATATGGTCAGGGCTGGTCCTCCTGCAGCCCTGGGCGGACTGCACAACTCTTCTCTCTGCCCTGCCATCGGCTACAGGTGGGAGATGTCTGCATCTCTATCAGTTTACAGAGCTTGAACAGTAACTCAGTTTCTCAGGCCAGCTGCGCTCCCCCAGGCCAGCCGGGTACTCCCCGAGAAAGGCCTGAGAGGACGGTCTTGGGGCCCAGAGACCTATGTGACAGCGAGGGGAAGAGCCAACCTGCAGGAGAGGGCTCCCGGGTGGCAGAGCCCTCCCAGCCTGAGCCTGGTGCTCAGGCCTCCTGGCCAGCCCCAAGCTTCCAAAGATACAGCATACAAGGGGAGGAGGCACGGGCTGCGTTGCTCCGTCCCTCTTTCATTCCACAGGAGGTAAAGCTGTCCATCGAAGGGCGTTCCAATGCAGGAAAATGAACCTCTTTCCCAGCCCAGGACTGGGGCTTTGGCCCCAGAGGTGAGCCTCACCAGGAACAGCCAGAGGATTTGCACATGCCTAGCAGAGAATGGCTCTCTTGGCAGTGAGATTCGGGGGAAATGGGAGGAATGAAGGCAGCCTCCCAAGGGAGGATCTGTTCATTACCCCTTGGTGTCCTCTCAGGACAGCCCTAGGGGCTACTGAGATGGGGAACAGCAGGCCTGGGGCAGGAAAGGGTGGAGGTGCACACAGGACCAGAAACATTCCAAAATCAGGGCCTCCCTGTTTTTTCCTCCTCATCCCTGGCTCCTGCAAGGAAAAGTACAGGCTTTGGGAGCAGGTGGCAGAGGGAGGGCGTAAAGAGCGAGCCAAAAATGATGATCCACAGCTTATAGTAGCAGTAAGACTTTTTGTTTTTTCCTTTTCTTTTTTTGTGGTGGGAGGGCAGGAGGCCCATTGGTTGGAAATAAGAGGGTTCCTACCCAGAACCCTTCTTGTGAGAGATGTGCACTTTAAAGGGTGATTTTGTTACAGATGTTTATGGCTGGGTTTGTTGGGGAGGAGCACCATCATATACAGGACTCTTGCTTGATCCTTTGCTTCTGCCTGTTCCTATCCTCACCATTCCTCTGTACAGCTTTCCAGCAGCTTGTGGGCCAGGAGAGAAGCCCCTTCAGGATTGAGAATGAAGGACTGCCTGGGGACTTTGGGGGAAAGACCTGACTGCTAGATAACTGGGCCCTAAGCAAGGCTTTTGGAAAACCTAACAAAAGTTCCTCCTACTCAATGTGCCAGGCCTGCTTTGAAATGGTCTTGAATCTCTAGTGGTAATAGTGACTTTGGGGAGAACTTCAGCCCTTTTTTCCCCAGGCACCTACACTCCTCCATTGTCTGTCAATGTTGTGCCTAAGTGCCTGCGCTGCTCCCCACCCTTCTGCTGCCCTGACCTCTGCATGGTGTCTTGACCTTGGCCTCATTTGTAGCTGCACTGCCTTTGTCTGTTCTAAGACCTCTAGTTTTTGGTGTTATAGGGGGTCTCTGGTTTCCCTATCAGCTATAATTTTTATTTTTAAAAACTCAGAATCATGTCCACTCTTCCACTGGCAGCAATGTGGTAGAGAAGGAAGAAAGGAGCCATGCCCTGGGCTGGGCATTTCCCATTCTGGTGTTTTATACAGCCCCCTCCATCTTAATCCACTGCCTCTCTTAGCATGCAGACATCTCCAAGCTGTCCCCTCCCGCCACCAGCCCCAAGAGTCTAGAATAGTCCTCGTAACATTTCAGTACCTGAAGTATGTTTCATTTTGTGGCGGTGTATTCCTCTGCAAAGAGTATTTTCAGTCTTGGTTGCATTTGCTTCCATATGTCTTACACCCACGTATTTCCCACCACTTTCAGTGTCAGCTTGGACTGTGGGATTCCACTGGGTATTAAGATTTAAGTTCCCCCCACCAGCTTTCAGGTGGTTGAATAGTTTTTTGTGTGGGTTACTGGGGAGGGGGGTGGTTCTTTACATTCTTGAAGGCAACTCAGGGTATTGTCCACCCAACTCTGGTTAGACTTCTCCCAGGGTGTGATTGTGGAAGATCCTTCGTAGATATACTTGGACTGGCCAAGGCTTGGCCTGTCATCAGGAATCCCACACTTGAGAGGTCTGAGCTCTACTCTGTCAAAGACTTAAGGCAAGTCTTGTGATCTCTCTTTCACTTCCTCCCCAGCTGCCAAATGGGGATAAATAATCTTACCTACCTCCTGGGGGGGAGGGGATATTCTGAGAATGGAGTCATTCTTAGTGTTCAGGTGCTAAAGGTTGTTCCCCTGGGGAACAGAGTGACCGAAACTGGCTTGTTTGCTACAAGCTCTACACTCCACTGTTTCTTACCTTGAGAGGAGATACCCAGTCAGTGACTTGGGGTGGGGGTGGAGGGCATCTAAAGGAAGCTGCTTACCTGACCTCAAGTACTTCAGTCTCTGATTCATGTCAGAATCAAGCATCAACCTTATACTGCATTTGAGATCGTGTCCTTTCCTTTCTCTGGCCCCCATTCTCTGAATGCTGCTTCTCTGGCTTGTTTCCTACAGTGGGGTCTGCAGAATTGAGCCTTGAAGAATTCCCTCAGGTGAGAGCTTTGGGAGAAGCCCTCATCTCTGGGTGTTTCATGAGCAACTCATTCCTAGGGATTACTGCATGCATGGGCTTCTCACAAGTACCCTCACAAGGAAGGCTCATCTGAATATAGTGACATGCACAGTAGATGCTCAGGAAGTGTCCACCATGGGTACCCACTGAACTGCTTATGGGAGCAAGCCTGTATCTAACCAGATAAAGGCCGAGTACTTTTAAGTCAAGTCACCCTTCACTCAGGCTAGTCATGACTCCCTGACTTGGTAACATCCACTGAACCTTAGAAAAAGAAATTGTTGAGAACCTTGAAAAATTTGGCCCTGACCTCTCTGCTGTGGTTCCTTTTCTTGTCTCTTCCTGGTGAAGTAGTAACTCCCCTAAGTTGAGGCATGCATATTTGAGTTTGATCTGAGAGCTACCTTTCATACAGTGTGTTCCCCACACACATACAAAACTCTCTGCTTTAAATATTGGTCAGAGCTGTGGCAGTGCTCTTGCCTTTTCCTTCTGATTCAGTCTTTTCTTCCAGGCATGGGAAATAAGAATGACCTGTGGTATAGGAATACCCTACTGCGTGCGAGATGAATGGGTTTTAGAGTAAGCATTTTGGTGGTAAGCTATCAGCCGTTGGGAATTGGGCATTAGACAGAGACTGGCCTGTTACTAGTTGGTGGTGGAACCTTTCCAGAACTTAACAGAAAGAGGATCTGAAAAATACCAATTTGAAAGAAGGGAATTTAGAAAAAGGGACATATAGTGATCTGTCGTAGATTATTCCTGTCAAGACTAGTATTCAGGGGAGAAGGGGGTTGGGAGCTTGGAGCTGAGTGCTTATGCCTGAGGGAGGAACCACAGAACATCTGGACTGATCCTTTGACACTTTGGGTCCCAGTTGATCACACCATGGGCTTTGATCTGTGCTGCTTTGCCACTGCTGCTGTCTGTTCCCTGTCTTGCCTGCTTCCCATTATAGCTCCTGTCCATGTCTTTGGCCATGTAGATTACACTCAGATGTCCTGTCAATTCTTAACCTGTGTTCTGCTGATGTTACGGCATAGCACAGTCACGTTGAATAGGGATGGTTTGAAACGCTGCTGGTGGGCTGGTGAATCCAAAGGGGTAAGTGGCTTCAGTGCTGTCAGGAGTCCTTTGTCTCCAAAGATCTGCCTCTGGAGAGAGAAACAAGCAGGTCCTGTCAGTGGTCATTTTGTTAAATTAACTTCTCTCCTTTGTGGTACCTTATATCCTGTTTTCAAAACGAAGAGGAATCATGTCAGGGCTGCGTCAACAGCCTAGTGATGTTCATCTAGCTCTAGTAACGTGGATTCTGGGGTTGGGAAAAGTTTAAAGTTTGGCAGCTCCTCCACTTGGTTTTATTTTTACCAGGGAGTATCATAGGCATCTTAGGAGAAGCACAAGATGGTGTTGGGATTTAAACCTGCACCAAGTAGGCATTTTGAAGAGTTGAGTGGTCACACTGGAGCTGAAGGTGAACATTGGAAGAGGCCCAGGCTATTGGAGTAAATAACCAGGTTAACTACATTGGCCAAGGGGGTTTAGGACAGTCTTAAAAGCAAAGTAAATAGGACAGAGACCAAGTTTTAGAGAGATGTCTTGACCTCCTAGGACTGAGTTTTCTAGACCATACTGAAGCTACAGTACTTTCCAAATCCTAAAGTGTACACTACAATTCAAGAGCTGAATTCTACTAGGTTGGATGTTGATTAGCCCTTGGCTGAAAGCCTTCATCCTCTAGCTTCCCTAGGGTAGGAAAGGTCTCCCACATTATGCAATAATAAAATAAGCATCTGGGTCTTTGCAGCTGTCAGTTGCTCTTTCTACTCTAGGATCTATCTTTGGACCAGAAGCCTGGTCTGGGCCCAGGATGACATTGGCCCTTGATGCTAGAGTTGGCTGCACTCTCTCCTTACCTGCAGACTATGCACAGTTCCTGGGGCGGAAGGAGGAGAGGTGGTGTGGTTTTCCCTGCTGAGCTTCCTCAGCAGGAACAGTAATAATAAATGCACTTTTCACACTAAGGTTTCTTTATTAGTTCCTCTGTTACGCCTAGATCCTCCTCATGTAGACTGCAAACTCAAAGTGTTTGTGATCCCAAAGCCATTTCGCTGCAAACGCCTAGCAGTAGAGATGGCCCCGGACTGGGTTCCTGTCTGCAGTGTGTCCGGCAACAGCCCATGTGCCTTTACCTAATGTCAAACTTGCAAGCATTTATTCTGTCTTTATGTCAGGGGGACTTAGTTTCTTCCAAAAGAGAAATGATAACACAGTGGTTTTACACACACCCCCTGGCACCAGGGAGTTTGTATGTAGTTGAAAGCTGTGAGGGTTAGTGAGCTGCTGATAACATGGAAGGCAGGATGGATCTCTCACTTGCTTCATACATGCACCGCACAGACTTTGCATTGTATTGGGGAAAAGACTGACTGTACTTATGGCTAACGAAGTATTAAAATTTGGTTGTCCCCCACAAACCTAGTCACACAGGATCCCTGTAGCCAAAACAGTATATGTTCCAGCTGCAGAGAGCAGATTGCTCTCAGCTTGCATAGCACCTTAGGGGAGGGAAGAATATATGGATAGGGAATTGGGGTGGAGAAAGGAGGATGGGAATTTTGTCATCCAGGTGGCTTTAGGGTCCTACAGAGAAGAGGACAGCACTGGGGAGGTCTGGATGGATCTGATTTGTGTAGGAGTTCCCTGTAGATAAATTACTGATCCCCCAACTACTATCCCCAGTATGTAATGGCTGAATTAATATGTAATCAACTGCATTGTATCTAAAGCCTTAGAACTAGTCAGGTGCTCCTCCCACCCAATACCATTTCTTACCCTCTAATCCTACCTGATCTTTAACAAAGCATTAATAATTCTAAGGATAATCTCTATTTTGTTGTGCTTTTTTGTAACTGTTTTAAATAAATCAATTTGTACTGTATATTTGTACTTTTGTGAGATCCTTTTTGCTGTTTTACCATTTTAAGTCTCTGTACTTGGCTACACACAGATTGTATTTTTATTGTTAATGCTCTTCTTATGGATACCTGCATTTAACTTGTGGACTATGTAAACACAGTATATTATCAATATCTATATATCTATATATCTATCTATATAAACTACTAGCTTTTCCTTTTTGGTGTTTGCGCCTCTTTCCTATCTGATGGATAGCCCTCGGGTGGAGGGTACATAAGTTTTGTGGGAACACTTGGAATGCAGATCAATTGGTAATCTTGGGCAAATGGTGGGAGCTGACTGCCTGCTGACGTTGATTTCAGTATGGAAAGTCTATCTGTAGACAGATGCCAGCAGAATCACTTGGTAGGACCTGTAGATGACCTTACTGCTGGCCTCTCCCCAACTCCTTACTCTGGCATATTTTCACAAATTGCTGAAATAAGTCAGTCCTAATCATAGCTACTGCTCATTTAGAAAGTTTGCCACCAGTAAGAGGTGGAACACACAGATAGATGATAGTGACTCAGATAATTAGCACTTCTATATCATAAACTACCCTAAGTGCTTTATCACCGTCTCTTGCTAGTACTATTTCTATATTGTGACATAGAAATTTAAGAATTTGCCCAACTTCCACACTAAATGGTGTGGGTTTTTTAAAAAATGGTTGTTTAGATTTTTTGGTTTTTGTAGCGGGCAGTCTAGGCAAGCAACCACTAAGCTCTATCAGCCCAGCAGGACAGTTTTGAACTTATACATACAACTTTTGAGTTTAACTCAGAATGTTGTGAAAATTAAAATGAGATGATCCATGTAAGGTGCTCAAGGTAATCCTTGAGACATGGTGCATCCCAGCCATTTTGAAACATCCCAAGTAGGACTTCAGTATGGGACTCTGAGAAAGGCATTTGGATCAGTAAGTACTTGATCTCTTTTCAGTGTCATTTTCAGGGTAAATATTTTTCAGCCTGCATAGCAAAAGCTAAAACCTAGTTTGCTGGGAGTCTTTTTTAAGACTTAAACAGCCTTGAACCTACAGTGGTAGGAGAGGAATCCAAGTTCACTGTTACATTGGAAGAGGTCCACATTCCTGGCATAGTTATTTTTCTGGCAAAAATGTAACTAGGGCACTTCCTTCTGGACCTCAAGATCTATAATTATCTAAACTGTACCTAACCTTTGATGCAAGCTAAAGAAAGTACTACACTTATTCTGCACCATCACAGAAACTTCTACAAATGACCTCAGCCTAGGTTTCCTCATGGCCTGGCGGCCACACTGCCAGAGGAGTCATTCTGCTCCAGGCTGCACCACTGGCCTGAGCTCTCCTACTACTGTATTCCGTTTCCTCAGTGCATGTTATGGTCCTGCCTCAGCTCTGGGGAATATATAAAAGGATGTGTTGCCTTCTCTCAAATAGGAATTCTGTAGCCTGTAGCAGAATTTTAAATGTCTGAAGTGAGTTTTGCTTGGAGACATAGCTTATACTTAGTTGCAAGTACTAAGTAGTCTCTTAGAAAATGCCTATTGTGAGAAAGGCCCTTCTGACCTTGGAAAAGGTAAGTAAATGGCCCTTTAGGGTGGAGCTATTTTTATCATGGTTATGGGATTAATTTCCACAAAGTCAGCATCAGTTTTTCAACTGTCAGTTACTTCTCATCAACTTGTAAAGGCCCAAGCAAAGAAGCTTTGCTTGGGTATTCTAAGTTGAAGAACACCTTGTCTCAGAAAAGAACAAGCCACCTGAAAATTCCCATCAAGTTCTCTCCTAGCTCACTTCACTGGATTAAATGGAAATGAGACAAAACAAAGGGCCAGTAAGATAAAATTACTTTATTTTCCCTCACAGCTTCATGGACTGCACTGGAGCTCTACAGTCCCATAAGCCTGACCTGCCACAGTGGCCTGAGGAGTCCAGGTTTCTGGAGTACCTGCTCCCTTGTCCAGAGCTGCCTTGAGCTGAGTCCCTCCTGACCCCATCATCCTGTTCCCACATGCAAGGGGTGCACAAGTTTCCCTGCAGCCAACCCAGGCCTGCCTGTGACAGCAAGGACTGTGGCCCTGTGGGTAGCTGCAGCGCTGATCCCTGTGGACTTGGGTGAATGTGAGGGCAGGCACAGGAGGGTGTGGTTCAGTGCAGAGAGCTGCTGTTCTGTTCTTCAAAGGCCATCTTGCCCAGAAGTTGACTGTCCAACTCTACCCCACTCACAGGCAGCTGGAAGAAGTTCATTTCAGCTGCTAAGGCTGCCATGGCAGAAGGGTCCTGGCCAAACTGAGCTCGCAACATCATGTCCATTTTCTCCAGCCTCCTCTTAAGCCTCTTAGCCTCTCGCTCTCGGATGAGCCGGGCCTGCCGTTTCTCTGGGGTTTCATTGGCCCGCTTCAGCCTCATGGCTTCCCGATCTCGCTGCAGCCTGCGAGCTCGCTGCTCATCTGTCTCCTGCATGCGTTGCAAGCGCTTGGCTTCCCGGTCCCTCATGCGCCTCACCTCCCGCTCCTCTGGGGTCTCGTTGTCCCGCCGACTCTTCTTGGCTGTGCGCTCCCTTTCAAGTCGTTGTAGTCTTACTTCCAAAGGTTCATTTTGTCGACGGAGGGCCCACTTGCGTACACTGGGGGTCTGGGTTTCCAGTAGCTTGCGGTAGGCAGCACAGTTGTTGCACACAAGCAGAATTCCAGCAGGGTACACGGGAGGGCTAAAGGCAATGTCCTTCCCCTCAGCACTGGAGGGGCCCTCACTGTGAGCTGGGGGTAGGGATTCCATATTAAGTACTTCAGGAAGTTTCTCACTGGAAAGCAAAGATCTTTGATGGTTACTGTTTCCTTGTAGTAAGCTTCGGGTATCTGGCACTGACCTACTCCTTTCCTGTTCTAAGTTCACCACTAAGGGTTAGTGTGAATACTTGGGAGACCCTTTCTTCTCTTTGGACTAAAGTAGCTACAAAGTCTTAAAGCCCAACTTGAATTAACGTCTGAACCACCTGTCACAGCAACACACCCCCAAAATCAATGACCCCCTACAAGGTGAATGAAGGGGCCTGGAGGTGGAGGCTTCCTTCAGGCAGGTACAGCCCGCTGCTTTATGTTCTTCTACCTGGCACTGCCTACAAGGAAAGGCAGCCTGTGCATTGTACAGCCAGGCACATGGGATGAGAACACGGTGTTCCAGACTTCCAAGGACACAGTAAAGACTGCCTCACACCAGGATCCTCTCTGCATGCTACTTTTGTCTTTACCATGAATATTTTTGCATGTCTCTGTATCACTTTCTGGTTGAAAATATTCTGATGGGGGAAAAAATGGGACTTCATGGTGGGGCATGGTGGCACAGGCCTTGAGTCCCAGCACTTGGGAGGCAGAGGCAGGCAGATCGTTATGAGTTCAAGGCCAGCCTGGTCTACATAGTGAATTCAGGGCAGCTGGGACTACAGGGAGACTCTGTCTCAAAAAGACAAAAAAAAAAAAAAAAAAAAAAAAAAAAAAAAAAGGGAATTCATCTCCCTTGGGTATCTATTGGCTATTGTCTAGCCTATAACCTAGCCTCATTACTTCAACTTCCTGATAGTCCTGTCAATTGTCTTTGCATTACCTACCTCTAGCCTTTCCTTTGACTTGGGAAAGCAGGATCCTATACCCAGTAAGTTGCTCCTAACACAAGGTTAGGTGTTCTACTAACCTGTTAAAAGTAGCATGGCTGGTAAAACGGGCTCCACATACAGCACAGTTAGACCGCTGGTCCTCCGAGTGGATTAGAAGGTGGCGACCCAAGGACCCTGGGGAACTAAGGGCCCGACCACAAACAGGACACATGTAGCTCTTGGCGCTCACCACTGCTGCAGTATGCTGTGAAACAAAGTCTTGTCTGTCAATCTATTTTTTTAATAAATCTTTTATGTTCAATTTTATGTGTATGAGTGTATTGCTTGCATGTAGGTAGGTGCACCTGTGTCTTGCAATGCCCATGGAGGTCAGAAGAGAGCATCAGAACTGATCTTCTAGAACTGGAATTATGGACAGTTGTTAGCCTTCATGTGGATGTTGGGAATCAAACCTAGGTCCTCTGCAAGAGCAGCCAGTGCTCTTAACCACTAGGCTATCGCTCCAGGCTTTTTTTTTTTTTTTTTGAGAGAGAGAGACTGACTGACTTACCATGTATCCCTGGCTGGCTTGGAACTCAAGATTTGCCTGCCTCTGCCTCTCAGTGCTGAGATTACTTTCTTTCCTCATATTTTATTTCTAAGTATTTTATTTATTATATTTTTATTTTATGTGTATAAGTATGTGCCTGCATGTGTCATAAGTGCACCTATGTCATGCCCACAGAGGTCAGAAGAAGGCATTGGATCCCCTAGAACTGGAGTTATGCCATGTGGGTGCTGGGAATTGAACCCGGATCCTCTGCAAGAGCAGCCAGTGCTCTTAACTGCTGAACCATCTCTCCAACCCCCTTTCCTCATCTTTTAAAGACACTCTTCTGGGGCTTTCAAAATGGATCAGTGAATCAAGATGCTTGCAGTGCAAGCCTGGCAACCTGAGTTCAATCCCTGGAACCCACATAAAGGTAGAAAAAGAGAACCACCTCCATAAAGTTTTTCCTCTGACCTCCATGCACACAAACACAATAATAAAACAACAAAACAACACATTTTTAAAAATTAAAGAGTTCTTTAAAGAAAGACTTTGGAGGAACCAATTATCTTTATGGTAAAAACCCAAGCTGCTCTGTGTATGATGTCTTGTAAGTACAGATCACAAGACAGTTCCTCTTGGTTGGATCAGGGTGAAAAGACAAGAGTCTGTTCTGTTTTCCTTGTCTGTACTTTCACTCGTATTTCAGAAATAATATAATTCTGTTTTTTAATATTAATTTTAATACATATTATGCACACGTATATGCATTATACATGCATATATGTGTGCATGTATACATGCCACAGCATGAGTGCTAAAGTCAGAGGATACCTAGTGACAAGCAGTTCCCTACTTCCACCATGCAAATCAAGGGGATTGTTAAGAGGGTCCTCAGGCTCGGCAACACGTGCCTTTACCCACTGAACCATCTCACCTGCCCACATTTATGTAAGCTTTTTTTCCCTTTAAAACCCCAACATTATTAATAAAGTTCTTTCTATTTCACTACTAAATATATTAAATAATTTTATTTAATACAAGATCATGATACTTAATTTTTACTGTCTGTCTAGGAATCCAGAACCTATTTACCCAATGTATCCCAATTATTCTCTAAGGTGTTCCGAGGGTTGGAATAGAGTTCTAGTGAAACCCACAGCCTGATCTTCCTTCAGGAGCCAGAGGCAAAGGCCACTGCAGCATCTGAGCTATAAGCTCAGCACTCAGGTTCCAGAGCTCCCTGCTCCCCACGACATACCTGGTACACGTGAGCAATCAGCTGCTCCCGACTCCCACAGTCTAGCTGGCAGAGGGGACACTGGCAGAGTTCAAGCAAGGGGTCAGAATTTGAGTTCTCTGTGACCTGCAGATCAATAAAATAGGCAAGTCATGAAGACCCATCACTAGTCTCTTCCCTGCCCCATCTCCTTCAATAGACAGAACAACCTGTAACGTGTTATTCTTAGGTTTGGGCTGAAGGGTAAAGCGTTGTTTGATAAGAAATTAATTTTTCTAGAATCTTCATTTTCTTCAAAGCTTTCTACCACAAGGACACAGGACTGCCCCCCAGAGATAGCTGATTACCTGTATCCCTCTCACTAAAGTAAAAACTCTCCAGGGAAAGGATTAGAGCATCCCTCCTGTGCCTCAGAAAGTCAAGTTTTCACTCTGTGAAGGTGTCGTTTTGTCTGGAAAGTAGGAACTTTAGGAAGGAGAGCTATACAGGGGTGCCAAGGAGGTGGGGTGGAAAAAGGACTGTTTGCCACTTGCCTCGTGCTCTACTATTTCATTCCCACCACCAACAGGCTGTTCTGCATTTTCTAACTCTTTTTCCACTTTGACCACCCCACCATCTTCCTCTGATGTGTGGGAAGACACTTCATCTTGTGTGGTCTCCTCTTCATCACCTTCACTGTCACCTGGAACACATAAACTGGTCACTGGTTCTGATTTTTGCAGGAACACATCCTGAGCTGCTGTCCAGCCTAGAGTTTGCAGGTATAATGAAGAACATTTTCAGACTTTCTATAGTACAGTTTGCTTCTGCTTAATTGGACAAGGGTAAAACGGAAACCAGCTACCACTTACTCATTATGCCATATGCATGCTAAAGGGAAAATGTGAGGCAACTGTACTGGAAAAGGTCATTAGTCCTCTATCACAGATGTAACATTAAAGACAAAAAAACAAAAACAGGGTCTCATGTAGCCCAGGCTGCCCTCAAACTCACTACCTAGTTGACGATGGCCTTGAATTTTTGATTCTCCTGCTTCCACCTCTGAAGTGCTAGGATTACAGGCATACACCACCATGCCTGGCAAAATAATTGCTCTTATGCATGGTTCTGAAATATATCACACTTCAGATCATTCCCCCGAGCATCTTACACCAAGCTCATTCCCACAGCTGACAGCCTGACTTAGCAATACCTCTTCCTGGTGTTCTTACTTACATGTCTCCTTAACCACCGACATAATTTCTCCACGCTGCCAGACTGGTCTACTCTATAGCCACTCATCTCTCCTCTCCCAAACACCAACGCACACTTCCAGAAACAATAATGGGTTTTTATGCTCTCTTACCAGTAAAGAGAATAAATTAGCTTAAAATGTCAGTTTATAGGGAAAGAGCTGTATGCTACAGTGGAAAATAAGCATAGCAACTAACCTCAGGCAAGTTTACATTTATAGGAAGGAAGGTGTCCAAATACATTGTGGGGTTTTTTTTGTTTTGTTTTGTTTTGTTTTCTTTTTTGGTCTTTTTGAGACAGGGTCTCCTATAGTCCCAGCTGGCCTGGAACTCACTATGTAGACGAGGCTGGCCTTGAACTCATAGAGTTCCACCTACCTCTGCTGGGATTAAAAGCATGTGCTACCACACTCTGTTTTTTTCTTTTTGACAGGGTCTTGCTATGCAGTCAAGGATGGCTTCAAATTCATGATCCTCATGCCCCATCTTTCCAAATGCCCACTCTGTGAGTTGTGTTGTTTGTTTTGAGACAGGACCTTACTATGTAGCTGTGGCTGGCCTAGAAATCATAGAGATCTGCCTGCTTCTGCCTCACAAATGCAGAGATTGTAGGTGTGTGCTACCATGCCTTGCCAGTCTGCTACTCCATAACAAGTACTAGTAACACGGCATTCTCTGCTAAATAAAACTAGATTTTGTTCTTTGGCTTATCTATGGATAACTAAATATGGAAGAAGTGGGAAAAGTGTCATTCTTCACTTTAGAGGGCAAAATGCCATTTCTTGTGACATAAGTAAAAACTGAATTTGTTTTAGATTTGGGAGAAGGATGTGGTTGTGAGGTAATCTGCCTGTGGCTAATCAATCTACAAGGCTTGTTGTGTAAGTTGATTTGGTCTCTATTACTTATAAGATAGATTAAAAAAAAAAAAAAAGGTAGAAAAAACCTACAGTGACAATGAGGGAATTTCTGAAAGGAACAGAGCATGAGCACCTTAGAGAGCACAGAGGAAGCCAGGCTTAGGAGTGCTGTCAGACTGCAGCCCTGTCTCATTCCTAACTGAGAGTCCGACTCCTGGGCTGATGTGAGCAGAGAAACATGCATGGGAAAGTCTCCCCAGGCTCTCTGCATCCACAGTGAGACTCAGAGTTCCCTGCTAAAAATGGCTGTTTATCTTTTCCCCACTATGCCTTGCATAATTTCTAAATCTATCTGTGTCTAGGCAATGTAAGTTCATTTTTCTTTCTGGATAACACTGGTTAAATTCCCATTACTGGCAAACCATCTGCTGGTGGTTACGTATGTCTGTGGTAGATACACCAATCATTTGCTGGACTACATTTGGGCCCTTAAGAGATCTATGCTTTTAAAGTATGCTGCACTCCTACCCCTAACTGAGGAGTTACTGACAGTTGATGGCTTCTGAGGGAAGGAGAGTCAGTTGTCCTTAAGGGTGTGGCCCCTGATAGGTCAATTAGGCTTCAGTGGCTGGCCCCACACCTGTGAGTATACGGGTAGCACATATGACTTAGTAGATTTTTTTTTTAATATTTATTTATTTATTTATTTATTTGAGACAGGGTCCTTCTGTAGCCCCAGCTGACCTGGAACTCCCTATGTAGACCAGGCTGGTCTCAATCTCACAGAGATCCACCTGCCTCTGCCTCCCAAGTGCTGGGATGTGCCACCACACACAGCTAAATTTCATTATTTTTATTTTATGTGTATCTGTGTATTGCCTGCATGTAGGTAAGTGCACCCGTGTCATGCAATGCCTGAGGAAGACAGAAGAGGCGGTCAGATCCCCTGGAACTGGAGTTACAGACAGCTGTTAGTTGCCATGTGGGTGCTGGGATTCGAACCTGGGTCTTCTGCAAGAATAACCAGTATTCTTAACCACTGAGCCATCTCTCTAGCTCCATTTGGCAGATTACTTGGTTTCTTTTTTTGTTTTGTTGTTTTTTTTTTTTTGATCTTTTTGAGACAGGGTCTCCTGTAGCCCCAGTTGTCCTGGAACTCACTACGTAGACCTGGCTGGCCTCACAGAGATCTGTCTGCCTCCCAAATGCTGGGATTAAAGGTGTGCACCACCACGCCGGGCTTGGTGGACTGGGAGGTGAGGGGTGGATCCCAGAGAAGAGGAGTGAGGGGGTAAAGAGGATCAGTATATATTGTATAAAATTCTCAGAATTTTAATAATTTAATTTTAATATTTTAACATAAAAATATATTAAAATACATATTTTAAAGTATGTCAACTAGAAATATAGTTGTGTGTGTGTGTGTGTGTGTGTGTGTGTGTGTGTGTGTGAGATCTTTTTTGAGACAAGGTCTCCCTGTAGCCCCAGCTGGCCTGGAACTCGCTATGCAGACCAAGCTGACCTTGAGCTCTTGCCGAGACCTGCCTGCCTCTGAGTGCTGAGATCAAAGGTGTGGGTTACCACACCTGGCTGAAATATATTTTGATTTTACTTTGACTGTAACTAGAAAAGAAAGTTATTACATAAGAAAAAATATGCTGTCAAGAGGGATGATGGCTCTTCTTTAGAACAGAAACCTATTAGACTTTTATAGACATTGCTATTCTAATCTGCTAGTCAAGAAACTGGTGCATCCCATAGGTTTCTAGAAATTTGGGGGTTAATATCTCTGTATCTAAAAAATTAGTTACGTGTGTGTGTGTGCTGCTTAATTATTAGTGGGAAAACTATAGAGTTCTCTTTCTCACTGTTCTGCCTCAGCCTCCAAAAGTAAAAAAATCAGGGGAGTCACTCTATGCATTGATATTAATAAGAGCCAGTATCAAATGGATGTGATCAGGAAAGGGTAGAATTTTTTCTGGGAAATACATTTCCCAAAAACTGACTTGTTGAGTTAGTTTTGCCAGACTAGGGCAGAAATCCATTTCCTAACCATAGACCTCCTAAGGGGTTTGGTATGGGAAGACCTGGATCTTCTTTTTTTTTTTTTTTGGTCTTTTTGAGACAGGGTCTCCCTGTAGCTCCAGCTGTCCTGGAACTCACTATGTAGACCAGGCTGGCCTTGAGCTCACAGAGATCCGCCTGCCTCTGCCTCCCAAGTGCTGGGATTAAAGGTGTGTGCCACCACGCCCAGCCTGTTGATCTTTTTTTTGTATGCTACATAATCTTATCACTAAGCAAATCTGTATAACATTAAAACTAGGACCTCAAGCAAGAATTTATCAATGCCACACATATTTCATTATTTACAAATAAACAGATCCTACTGTAAAGGTACTTCTTTTTATTTCACCTAGCCCAGGGGCTACTTGGGCACTAATTATTTCTATGTCCTATATTACAACCCCCATAAATCTATCTACATATGGCACTGTGCCAATTACTACAGTCCTTGAGTTCTAAAAACATAACGCCAAAGCTGTCCTCTCTCTCCAATAAGCATATGCGAACATTAAGGATCCACATATCTCCTTCGATCTTCCTCCCAGCCCTCATGCACAAGCCCCAGAGCGCACACACTCTGTTAATTCTTCTCCCATTGCCCTGAGTCATTACCAGAAGGTGCAGAACTCACTGCTACTGGAGTCCTGATCTCTAAGTTGTTGGATAGCTTGTCGCTGACTGCCAAGGTCTCCAGGAAAATCAGTTTTCATCATCACCTGGCGGGCTTGTTCTTCTAGCCCAGCAAATACTTGATCCCCTGGTGGTCACAAGAAAAAAACAGTCAACCACCAGCTGGACAACATATCTCCAGGCAAGCTGGTTGGAAGATCAGACCACTGGAAGGTGGCAGACAGGCAGGTGTCCTATTCATCTCCAATCCTGCCCACCGCCTCCAACAGTTTCTGGGGCCAGCTGCTCTTCCTGGGCAGCAGGCTTATCTTAAATCTTCCTATTCTTGATACTTCAAAAGATGATCAACTGCTACTTTACAAACTTAACTGCAGAATCTCAATTCCGTTACAACCTTCCAACATAACTGGGGAGACAGAGGTAACAAGAGGCGAGATGATGGATAGAGGCAGGGTAACAAATTGGGAAAATCTCTATCCCTAAGTACTGTCATCACAATCCTAATTCAGTCTATGTCATACAAATAAGTGCTTCAGATAATCCTTCTGAATATATCTCTAATCCCAAAATACATTCCTTCCAAGACACAGACATGCTCTGGATGTTCCTCCTTGACTTTCCAATGTCTATTAGAATTAGCCAAGATAAACCAGGCGTGGCACACCTTTAATCCCAGCACTGGGGAGGCAGTGGCAGGCAGATCTCTGTGAGTTCAAGGTCAGTCTGGTCTACATGGTGAGTTCCAGGCCAGCTGGGGCTACAGGAGGACCCTGTCTCAAAAAAAAAAAATTTAACCATGATAAAAGCAATCAGTTGAATAACACATGGGAAGGAAATCAGTTGTTATGTCCTGCAACATAACAACTAATTAACAACAAATAATATTTATCTAGTCAGTGTGACTGTTTTTGTACAGTATCCCAAAGCCCTCGGCCATCCTTGACTTTGCACGTACTTCTGATGCACTCTACCTGGGACCCATGTTACTAAAGAGTTAACATTCAAGTGCTCTTTTATTTCCATGAGACCTAGCATAGAGAGAAAAGAGAGTTGGGTTTCTCCAGGTTTCCATTATCTCAGTCAGAATGGAAACTGCAGTCCCCATTCCCAGCCAGCCAGAGGGAATAAGCAAAGCCCCACTGAAATGTCTGACAGTAGATGAGACATTCTTGCTGAAAAGCCACAGGAAAGTAAACAGGCTCAGGTTCAGAGACCAACATAATGATGTGGGATGAGCAAATTTTGAGTTGATCTGCACTACTGGTCCTTGGGCAGTGAAAAAAATTGATAGGGAGTTGGCTTCATTAAGCACATATTCATTCAGCACTACTATATGCTAAGACATAAACACCAATTATAGTTACTGTTGGATATTTGCTAGTCCAAGTTCTAATTCTCTCTCCTTTTTTTT